CCTAGCATAGCGAAGATCGTAGCACAGAACTGAGTCTGAAAGATCTCCACTGACACTGGTCTGCCTGAAAGATCTTCACTGACACTGGTCTGCCTTTGGATGTCCACGACAACCAAGGTGTGATCCACAGCTGGCTGTACCTTTCCAGTCTTACTGGGGCAACTCAGTCATCCTGTTCACCCCCGACACATTTTCAGTTCCCTTTCTGCTATCTTTCCTTTGAGTAATGCCAGACACCAGTAAGTCCTGCCAAAGCCTCTCCAGACTCCAGTTACAGAGGAGTCTGATGTGTTCAGGATAAGAACAGAGTAAGAGTCCTCCCTTCCTGTGTATAGTCAGATAAACCTCACTCTTCTTATCACATCCTTGTCTATTTCATGAAATTACACCAGATGATTCGAGCAGTTGAGGGGGTGGGGTTGAGCCTGCACGACTGGAAGGTGCTCTTCCTGAGCAGGAGGGACACAGTGAGCCGGAGCACTGCAGGTTTGGAGGAAACTGAGACTGGGAGCATTGGCAGTGAACCAAAAAGTCCCTTCAGGGGCTGGCCTGGTCACATGCCATAATCACGAACCGGACGGCATCAACAGCGGGAATCTATTTCTGGTCTAAAAGCCCAAAGAATCCAACTGAAGGAGCTGGCAAGTTTTGTTTCTTCAATACCTCTCTCATTGGCTTATACATAACTATCTTCTCCATGTGTCTTCACACGGTCTTCCCCGATGTCTCTGTGTCCTTCTTACAAGGGTACCAGTCGTACTGGAGTAGGCCCTGGCTGTCCCCTAACCGACTCTTTAAAGGCCCGATCTCCTAAGAGAGCCACTGCTGAGTTACTAGGGTTAACACTTCCCAAGAAGAATTTTGAAATCAGTCCGTAACAGTCGGTAACAGAAATGGGAGAGCAGGGAGGCGCGACTGTGGCTGAGGGCATGACAGCACTCATGACATCTGCGAGGAAAAGAGCATTTCACCTCTCCCCCTTCCTATCTTTCCTCTCAATCATGTGACCCCAAGCTCCAATCTCTATCTGTTCTACAGAGCAGCTAATCAGTTCAGTCCTGGCCAACGAGCCTCATCTTTCCAATCCCAAGTGCAGAGCACTTACCATCCAACTCTAAAGCCCACATGGCTATACCTGTAGTTCTTAACGCCTTGTGTATCATCCATCCTCTAGCCTCATCTTAGGTCACCGCTCCAGGAGCTAGTCATGCCCACCTTCCGTCACCTCTTTCCAGGAAGCAAACCACCTCCTGTTGTAGGTCAGGGTCTTTGGACTACACTTCCCTTCTGCCCCCTCCTGGCCCAGCCTCTATCTAGTAAGTATCATTTCACTCTTAAGATTTTAATTCAAACATCTACCCTCAAGGAAGATTTTTTAGGGACACATGCACATTAAACAATTCCTTCTCCTGTCCTCTCCCCTACTCTGCCACAGAACAGGTCATATTTAATTACATACCTGCCCTCTACTAAGTTAGTAATGACTCTCCCACGAAACTGACCACATACTCCAAAGTTGCTGAGCAGAATGTGCATCTGGTCTGTCCATCATTATCTATCCAACAGCTAGTGTGGAATCATGCACACAGTAAGTGCCTAATAAGCACCCGTTAAAGGAACAAATGGACTGTAAATTAGCCATCTAATGATACATTTTTCCTGAATAAATTCATTTTGAGGTGGAGGCAGTAATGATAGTTAGATGGACAGACACATTAGATCACAATTCTATAGAAACTAAACATGTTTTCCAGCTCATTAACATATATTTATAATGTATAAAATATATATATTTTTAGATAGACATAATCTTCAGATACTTTTTTTAATCCACTGAAAATTAGTTTTGATTTCCCTTTGCTTGTAGCTCTTCCTACTGTAGTCAAAAACCAACAGGACTTCTTCATCTGAGGGAAAGAACTGGCAGATACCAGGCTGACTCCAACCCAACCCTTACTCTTTCCTTTCTCCTATTAGGCAGGAAACACTAAAATTCTGGAAACAAGATGTGTCACACATTGGCAATGTTCAAATCTGCTGATAACATCCAATCTCCCCCCAGCATGAGGAAGCCACATGGCCACAACCTAATGTAAAATAGAACATAACCAGTAAACTCGAGCAACATTCCACATGTTATCACTTTCAGCTTTGCACAACATGTGGAAACAGGCTCACTGTGCCACTTGCCTGTGTCAGAACGTCTAAGGGAGGAGGATGCATGTTTGGGATTTATTATAGTCACCTGAGGGAAGTGTCCAGAGGAGCGCATTGCAACCACCATGTGGCCACATGTTACAGATTTCTTACTTCTAAAAGGAGTATGTTCCAGAGATATATTTATGTTTCAGGGGCTTGCTGATGCGTAGCCTTGGTCATTCGGAACACTTACAAGCCGAAGGTACTAGTCAATGCTAATGAGAAACTAGGAAAAGAAAAGCAGTTCTTTTTTTTTTTAATGTTTTATTAGAGTCTTTTTTTTTTTTTTTTTTTTTGCAGAACTGGGGATTGAACTCAGGATCTTGTACTTGCCAGGCAAGCACTTATTCTATTGAGCTATCTCCCCAGCCCCTAAGAAAAGCAATTCTTTTCTAGATAATCACCTCATTTGCTTTGACTTAAGACTATTGAGTTGTTTTATTTCTTGGATGTTTCTGTCCCCACCTCCACGCTCTGCTAAGTAACAGCCATATCTCCTGCTTGATCCACGTCAACTAAATTAACCAAATTATTAAGGCTCAAGTTCGTTGAGCCTCTTGGCAAGTAATTTTTCTCATGCCAAAAAGTAAAGAAGAAGCAAATTAGGAAAATCAGGTAAACCAGAAAAATGCCAACAGGATCAAAATTGAAATAACTTGCCAACTAGTTATTTTAGGAGCTTAACAGTTCAGATTTTTAAAAAAAAAAATCAGCATCAAATGGTCCCTTTCGGAGCCAGGGAGATGGCTCAGTAGAATAAGTGCCTCCCTGGCAAATGCAAGGGCCTGAGTTCAATCCCCAGTTCTGCAAAAAAAAAAATTGACTGCTGGATGGGTAAGTGGATATCTCTTAGAAAGCACAATTTCCGTGTTGATACTTCTTTTACTTCTTCCAGTAAGCCTGGTGAAGAGTCAGAATTTTTCCATCCTCCATGTCACTCCTTTAGGGTCCAGGGCTTAGTAGAATAAGCACCTGCCTGGCAAGCGCAGGGTCCTGAGTTCAATCCCTGGGGGGCGGGGGGAGTCTCTTTCTGTCAGAAAGAAAATAAGCCAGGCATGGTGCCACATGCCTGTAGGCCCAGCACTCTGGAGTGTAAGGCAGGAGAACCACCAAGTTCAAGCACAGCTTGGCAATTTAGCAACTTAGAGATCTTGTCTTAAAATAAAAAAGAAAAAGGAACAGAGATGTACCCCAGTGGGAACTCTGGGTTCAGTCCCCAGCAAAGAAGGGGGAGGTAAGGAAGGGGATGGAGCTTAAAACTCAAGTTGAAAGCTTGAGCCTCTCTCCTCTTATCAGTGATCAAACATTCAATACATTCCTCACAGCAGGTAAGGTGCTGCACCAGCAACTAAAGCTCCTGTGCATAGCCAGAAGCTAAGCTTTCCCTAGTCAAAGTAATTGGGAAACAAAACTTCTCCAGAGATAAAAATCTACCCCTTCATTAAGGTGCAGATCTGGGTGCAGTCAGTGCTCTAGAAATTACCAAGTTGATTTCTAGTTCTGGGGTTAAAATATTCCTAAATCCACATATAGTCATCAAGGAACCAGCAAATACTATTAAAGAAACCTAAGAGAAGTCCTAAGCAGATCAGCTTCACAAGGGAGCTTCAAATAATGAAAATCGCTCTAATACAAACTTCTATCTTTAAAAAAAATTAAGAAGGCATCAATAGAAACCAAAGAGCCTAGTGATTAAACCCTTTTCTAGTAATACGGTTTCCTACCTATTAGAATGCTTTGGATACTGTACATTTAGTGATGTAAATACATTATATCACTTGCAAAAGATGTACTGAAGGATTTAAGGGCACTGTACTCTATTACAGCTGTCTGATATCCACGTCTGTAACTTCATACCAATATGCAATCCCAGGAGGTAGTTTGATATTAAGTGAAAGAAATCAGTTGTTTATACAATGAATATTTGAAAAAAAGTTCTCATAAACCTTCATGGTTTGGCTAATTATCAAAACTGCTTCTTCAACAAATAGGAAATCCTTTTCATCATCTGATGCCCACCCCTGTCTTATTAGGGGACCATCATCACACAATAGTTCATATGTATTTGGAATATCCTACCTTCTAGAAATATAAATTGTAGTAACTGCGCAAATATTTAACTTCATCCAAAATTATTTTAGCCCAAACCCTAAGAAAAATCATTTTGATGGAACTATTGCATTTCACTCTCTGTGCAGCTCAACATAAAGCCAGATGTTTCAGCATAGTCCTCAGAGCCGTCTGTTGCTACAGCAACGAAACTCTGCTACCTGTGGCCATGATTTGTTAAGAATTCCTCCAACCAGTAAATTCTGTGCTGTGCATTCATAAAACCATTAGAATGACACTAAACAATGTGAAAATTAAGGCTTGATTTCCTGTGTGTGATTTACCCACACACATATATTTACAACATACATACACATATGTACCAATACACACATAATTATGACTCTGCAAACCCTATCAAAAGGGTAAAACCATATCAAATTTCCATTTTAAAATGGGAAGAACTGCTGTTTTACATCTCATTGAATAAACACTGTCCCCCAAAATGTCTTTAAAGACAATAGAGACTGAATTTAAAAATTAAGACATATATTTTTCAAAATGTATTATTTACAGGCGATCTCATTCCAAAACACAAAACAAAAAGACTGTGAAGTATAATCCTCTATCTGTCCTGGAGGTGTGGCTTCTTTAGTAATGAGCTGATTTAGAAAATATAAACCTAAAAAATACAGATAAAAATGTGGTCATCACCACCTTCATTCCCCAGTCTGCCTCCGCAGGCTACTCACCCTCACTGGGGGGCTCCAGGCTTGCACCCGAGGCTGCTGTCCACCCTGGGAGCTCTGCAGATCTTTTGCACTACAATTAGCCACAGTGCTGCCCTGAGCCCTTAACGCATTTGTGCAGTTGGTCCCACTGCCCCCACCAGGGCCCGGTTTCCAGGGCCTCTGCTTGATGCCATCAAGAAGTCTGACGAGCAGGATGTTACTGGGAAGCTCCTCCACACCTGAGCCGACCAGAGTCCTGCACTCCGGGCATCTGAGTTCGTTCCGCGAGCCTACAATCCCCAGCAAACATCGTTTGCAAAACGTGTGCTGGCAAGGCAAGACCTTTGCAGAGGCATCGAGGCGTTCTAGACACACGGGACACTCCAAAAGATCCAACAAGGCAGATTCATCCATCTTGATCTATTTTACTGAGAAAAGGACTTCAGAAATGGTCATAGTTGTGTGCAGTCCTTAAATGATTCATGTAACATCCATCTCAGACTTTGTCCTGGACACAAGGGGAAAAGGAGGAAGAAGGGAAATTAGTGTTAGTTATCTGGGGGAAAAGTTCACAGAGAAAGAAGGAACCAAAAAGCTTCCTCTGCTCACTGTAGCTCTGCTTTGGAATGTGGTTTCTAAACTCCAAAGTCAACAATTAAAAAACAAACAGGCTTTTAAAATAACTCATAATTAATCCCTTAAGATATCCAGAAGCTCAGGGCAGAGAAGTAGCTATCAACTACTATACAAGATTCCTGCAATAAACAGGATTTACGAAATGCATTTTAAAAAAATGTTTTCAGCTCTGATAGTGCCTTAAAAAAAAAAAAAAAAAATCCTCCTAGAAGAAGCTGAACAGAAGCAACTGAAAGTTTCCTCCACCTGAAACTGCTTTTAAAGTTCTCAATTTTTAAACTACGTTATGGTTTAGGAAACTCTGCTTTGGGTGATCCTGTGGTAAAGGATCCGATATTAATGCGTATGTTTCTCTTCTGTCTTAAAACCAGAACTGTTTCATCTTATCCAACTAAAAAGGTTGACAATTCTGAAGGGTACAACTAAAGGTTTGCTTGAAAAGGACTAAAACATAATGGCACTTTTCACAGCAGCGGTTGACAAACTCTGAAATGGATTTCTGAGCTGCCTGCCTGGATCTCATTCAGAAAATCGTGCAAAATGATCACTAAAGAACTCGACAATGGAACGCTGGACGGAACACTGTGAGCATAATATGAAAACGGGGCCATTCAGGAAAACGCATTTAAACCACTTACGGCAACACTCCCCACCCACCCACCCATCACCATCACCCAAATAAATGGAAACGTGAATGCCTAGGGAGAAGGGGCGACAAGGCAGGATGGCAGCACGAACAGCTGTTCTTGACTAAGTCGGGGTGGGGAGCTCCGCGCCCCTCTCGCACGCAGCCGAGCTCAGGTACTCAGACCCCGCAGCGGGCGCGGCGGGCGCTCGCCGCAGACACACCCCGGAGCCAGGTGTCGCGGCCGCGAGCACTGCAGGGTCCCGAGCTGCGGCTGGGACCGGATGGGTCCGGAATAGAGAGCTCACCCCCCAGCCGCATCGCCGCCCCCCCTTCAGGTCAGGCCGAGGGCAGAAATTCCCCCACACGACTACTGGAAGTTTTTAAGGACTTAAAAAATAAACACGCAGCCTTAAGTTGTGAAACTCAGCCCCCAAAGTGCACGGCAGACCGATCGATCATCCCGCGGGGAGGAGGCGGGCGTCCGCAGAGACCGAGCCATCCCCAGGGCTGCGCGGAGTCCAAGCAGGAAGCCCCGGGAGGCCGCGGGCGCCGTCCCCGCAGGTCC